TTGCTGTTGTTGTTGCTGCTGCTGTTGTTGCTGCTGTTGGTGTTGCTTGCTGTTGGTGTTGCTGTTTCTGCTACTGTTGTTGCCGCCTCTGCTGCTACAACTGCTGTTGCTAATGTTTTTCCTCACTGTTTTGTCTAACAACCATCATGACRTCATCAGCTATGGAGACCTGGTGCCTAATGAGCCCACAGATGGAGCCAGAAGTCAGGAGAATCGACCCATTGTATCAAGTATTATGTCACCAGAGATGTACAATGAAATAAGAGACCTGTACATTGCAGCTGCGCAGAAAACACCAGAGAACGATATAGATCCAACTGTACAGGTTTGTAAAACGTTTTAAAATTGGGTTCCCTGTGTTTTCATGCCACTGTGCCCAAGGCACGTCTAGATGTAGACTATTGCCTATTGCCTATATTCTTGATGCATTCTTGGACACAAACCAAACTTGTAACAATGTGCAGCTTGTGAGGATGCATCCTATAGATTTCTTCAAGTCTACATTAGTATCTACTTCACAATTTCTATCCTAAGATACAATATTTCTCTCCTTAGGTTGGCTTGGGTGTCTTGTTCAACCTATCAGGCGAATACGACAAAGCAATTGATTGTTTCCAGTCGGCCTTGCATGTTTGCCCAGATGATGCGTTACTATGGAACAGACTTGGTGCAACCTTGGCTAACGGTGGGCGCAGCGAGGAAGCAGTTGACGCCTACAGACATGCACTGTCATATAGCCCTGGGTTCATCCGTTGCCGTTATAATCTTGGTATCAGTTGTATTAATCTTGGTGCGCATAAAGAAGCAGTTGAGCATTTCCTCACGGCACTCAATATGCAGAGGAAGGCAAGTAGTGCAATACTCTATATAAACCAACTGATCTCTACTTGGGGTTTTGATAGCTTTACATCAATCCTTCTCTTGAGTRTTATGATGATTGTGGTAATTGTGATGCTGGGGATGATTATATGATGGTTGTTAAGATGATGGTGATAATGATGGTGATGATGATGGTGATGATGATAGTAATGGTGATGGTTGTTAAGATGATGGTGATGGTGATGATGGTGATGTTGATGATGATGATGATGGCGAGGTGATGATGAGGTGATGATGAGGATGACGTTGGTGATGATGATGATGAGGATGATGTCGGTGTTGGTGATGACGTTGATAATGGTGATGATGATGACGATGATGGTGATGATGGTGGTGATGATAGTGATGATGATGGTGATGAATGTTGATGTTGGTGATGAATAAATGATGATGATGATGGTGATGATTGCCATTTTGCTGATTATGGTGGTGATGGTGATGGTGATGATGGTGATGATTCTGATGATTCTGTGTACTCAAGTGAGCGTTTCTCTTCCAGGGTACTGTATCACCCAGTGGTACCATCACCACCATGTCCGACAAYATCTGGTCAACACTGCGCATGACATTATCTTTGATGGGTAAAGCAGAGCTTCATCAATCAGTCGATAAACGTGAYCTTGATCACTTGAACAGYGTTTTCCCCCATGAATCAGAACCAATACCAGTGATGGTTTAGACTGGGCTTCCTGTATGGACTCCATTCGACTACCATGTWCCAGCTACCTATTCTCTTGTGATGTGTTTGATGGAAGTAATGGTCCTTACACAAATGGCACAGAAATTTCTAGATTGTTGTGAGCTATATCTTTAGCTGAAACTGTCCGCTCATCACCCCATCACCCCCTCCCCCCCACAATAGACAAATGYATGTTTGAAATAGCACAAAAATAATTCATGGCATGCTGCGATGGAGAAATGTGTTACTTTTGCTATGCCATGCCGTCACACCAAATATAAAATACATAAAAGAAAGTGAATATGGAACCATGATGGAACCATGTAACTGTCAACCAGTACCATGCAGATGAATATGCATAATATTTTCCCATTTCAGACCATGTGTCATTCCCTAGAGTTATTTATTTGTTTAACGAACGCACATGAATAGACACATAAATATGGATACAACTCAAACAAAGAATCTCAGTATTCTCAAGAGAATGGCCATGTGGTCTGAAATGAAATAACATTACGCCAAAGGTAAAGAGGTCTCTTAGACATATGAATATGAAAAACTGAAATGAGAATAGAATGAATAAAGCATGCTTTTATTCAAAGTATCACATCTCCAAGTCTAGTCTATCTTTCAATTCTTTTATCAAATCCTTTAAGTTCTACTTCAAGTCTAGTCCCTTTTACTTGCCATAGCAAAACCATTAATTATTAGAAAAAGTATATTGAAAATATTTATCCATTCTATTTCCTAAAAGCTAGTGTTGAAAAACTTGAAAAAGGTACAAACTTTTCGTTATTGTTCAATTATTTGGCTTCCTCTGGTCTATGACACAGGGAGCCCAATAAAAATAGAAAACTCTACAAAGAACTTACCTTGAAAAAAGTGTAGGAACAGAATTTTTTTTTGTGACTATCGTGACCCATTATGATGTAACAACTGATYCCATTGATTGATCATAGTATCAAGACATTACGACTGATTTGATTGGCCAACATGGATAACTACATCACATCTGATTTCATAAGTCTACTTTGTTTTTGTTTTTCCATGAAAAAATATAGCTTTTTCACGTACAAAAATATACTGAATATATAAAAACTACGAAAGTTATCTTATTGATGTTAAATTTTAAAAGTCATAAATCTATTGCCTACCGAGTGTTTATCGATTTGCCCAGCGTTGCATGGTTTCTCGCCATTCCATGTCTTCGTCATCAGTTCGTAGGTTGCCTTCGTCGTCATCTGTTTGTATGTAACTTTCATCATCTGTCATCTGAGACATAAAAAAAATAGTTAAAATCGT